AACTCTAGGTTTTCCTCCTCGTCAGAGACGACCTCACGACCCACCTCGTCGGAGATCGTCCGGCTACTACTTTCTGTCGCTCGTTCCGCCATTCTTCCCGGCGATCGATAAGTTTAAAGCGAAAATAAAGAGAAAAACGTGCTAACTAATTGGAGGATGGAAGGGAAAGAAGGTGAAAAGACTTACCAAAAGTGTACGGCGAGGTCAGGGACGCCGGGAACGATAACCGTGAGAATAGAAGAAAAGGCGAGATCGAAAGCGAAGGGACAGGCAAGGAGAAGTTTGTGTGATTCAAGGAAAGGCTGAAAGAGAAGTATTTATACTCAGAAGATATAACCGTTACAAAGATAACCGGCGATTCGCGAACCGCCACCTTAAAGGATAGGGACGCTCTGTCTTGTCTCAACGGGAACACGCGGACCAATACGGGACTGCCACGTGTGAAAACTGTCAGAGATCGTGGGAACGTGCAAAGAAGGGTCGAAACCGCTTAAGTCAGAAGAAAGTAGGCGCGTCGAGTCGTGACATCACGCGCCATGATTGGAAAACCTATGAACCGCCAGACTGGAAGAGTCGCGTTTTTTGGCTAAGTGTAACAGGTCGGTTGAGATTTGGACAGAGGGGGAGCAGATATATACCAGGAATGACATTAAGGCGGGCTTAAGTATTAGCCCCCCTCAATGTCAGGGGCCTTAATGTTGACCTAAAAATCTGCTTTAGCGTTGGATGACTGACACGTGGACGGCGAGAAAAGTGAAGGGGGTACGCCCAAAAGTGCCAAGAAAACGTAGCCCGACCTGTGGTGGCCGACCTCACTTAGGAAGCCGACCTTGCCTGGAAGCCGACCTCCTACACGGGGCAACCTCGGGTGCCGGCCGACGTCGAAACGGACAAACAGCATTTAATGCGGGTACCATCGACTGTTCAGAGCCCATGTGGAGACATCATTGCGCAAGGGGGCCCCACAGACAGGAAAAGCTGCGCAGATGTCATTCCTCATTAAATGTCGCCGAACCTCCTCAAAAGACGAGCCCCCAGTTACTATAAATAGCAGCAATAAAGGCAATACGAGGATCCTTTTTTCCGACACATAAATACAGCATTAATCACCTCGGCTATCGCCAACTTTAGCATTATTGTATAAGAAAAACCGACTTCAAGTCCAAAAAATACCGACTTGATATTTTCCCAGATAATTCTCAATTATTCAATAAAATCGTCTCATTACGCCATTAATCTAATTAATATAAATATAAATAAGTTGATCAAATCCGTTTATCAACAAGCACCTAAAAAATAACAGAAAAACCCATACCTCGAATAGGAGCAAGAATAGTCCACCACCCGGAAGATTTCCAAATTCTCTTAGCCCAATCGCACTCGAAAAAAAACATGAATATTAGACTCCCACCTCGAACATCTGGGACATCTAGCCTCCCCGACAATATGTCTCCTGAACAGGTTCTCAGCTGAAGGGAATATCAAGTTACATACCTTCCAAAGGAACATTTTGATTTTAGGGAGGATTTTCAAATTCCACAAAGCTTTCCACCACCCAACATTTCGCGAACACGAAGATTCTACGAGACCAGAGAATTGTTGCTTGAGCAAATGATACCCGCTCTAAACAGAGTACTCGCCGTTCTTGAAAAAGTGCCAAATGATACGATCAGGTGTGGTGATGGCTCGACTAAGGGGCACAAAAATAATTTTAAGCGAGTCAATTGGCTGGAAAACTCGATTTATCAATTCATGATTTCAATCTCCATCACTTCCGAATAGTTCGCAGACTCGATCAATGCATGACGGGAAAGGGGAAATAGGTCGAAACCCCTGAAAATGAGGGATCCATGGGTCCGAAAAAGCCCTAATTGACTTGCTGTCACCCACTCTCCATCGCATTCCTAACTTAATGACTTCACGGCCCCAGACAAGACTTCGCCATAAGAACGATGATCCTGGCCGAACTGATGCCTTTAGAAATGAGCAAGATGAGAAATACTTTGATTTAAGGACTCTAGTCACAAGCGAATCCATATTCGAAAGGATCCTACAAGCTTGTTTCCCAAGCAAGGCTTGATTGAACTTTGAGAAGTCTCGAAAACCCAAGCCACTGAGATGTTTGGACAGTGTTAACCTATCCCACTTAACCCACGATAATTTTCTTTCTCCTTGTTTAGACCCCCACCAGAATTGAGCAACAAGCTTTTTTAACTGATCGCAAACGAGTTGTGGGATTCGAAATAAGCTCATTAAATAAGTGGGCATAGATTGCATCACAACTTTAATAAGAGTTCCCGACCCGCCGAAGAAAACTGATTCCGCCTCCATGATTGAAGTCTTTTTCAAATTTTCTCCCTAATAGTCGCAAATGTTCGACTCTTATCCCGGCCGATCATTGAAGGAAGACCCAAATAAGTGTTGTGGGGGGCAGGTGAGAGAATTCCTAAGCGAAGACAAATATTTAAACGAACCTGAGACGGTGTATTAGGGGAAAAGGAAATCGCTGATTTTGCCACATTAATCTTCTGCCCAGCTGCCGCCTCGTAACTTTCTAAAATATTGGCAATTGTTGTTGCCTCATCCGAGTTGGCTTTCGCAAAAATAAATTAAGTCATCCGCGAATAAAAGGTGTGAGATCGGCGGACTGAGTCTGTTATATTTAAAGCCCGTAAGGGATTTCTCCGATTCTGCTTTATGAAAAGCCGCCGAAAGACCTTCCGCACACAGGATAAAAAGGTATGGAGATAAAGAAAACCCTTGTCGAAGTCCACGTGAATATCTAACACTTCCCACGAGTTTCCCATTTATCCGAAATGAAAATTTGACCGTCGATATGCATTGCCGTATCAACCGATGGAATTTCAAAGAGAAGCCTTTTTTAAGGAGCATCATATCCAAAAAATCCCATTCGAGTCGATCATATGCTTTGCTCATATCTAATTTAAGAGCCATCCAATGGGAATAGCCTTTGCGTTTTTTGGACATTTAGTGAAGCATTTCAAAGGCGAGGATTGCATTATCCATAATAAGCCGGTCTAGGACGAAGGCGCTTTGATTCACTGAGATAAGAGGGTTCATGACCTTCTTTAGTCTCGTCGCCACAGCTTTTGAAATAATTTTATAGAGGACCGAACATAAGCTTATGGGCTGAAAGTCTGCGATCATATCTGGTTTTTTCTTCTTCGGAATCAAAACGATAATTGTATCATTGATACCCTCGAGAGAGCCGCCATGATTGAGTATATCGAGACAGACCGAAAGAAGATCTGGCTTAATAAGCTCCCAGTGAGTTTGGTAAAAGATGGCGTGGAACCCGTCGACTCCTGGAGCTTTATACGGGCCAATGCTTTTTAAGGCGGCCAGAACTTCATCTTCCGTATAAGGATTATCGAGCAAAGATGCCTCCTCCGAGGAGATACACCCTCCCACCTTGTCGGTCATCTCTGAAATCTGCTCAAAAGTCGGATGAGAGCTGGAAAAGAGATCTTAAAAAAACGTGGAAACAAGCTCACCAATATATTGCTCGCTTCGTGTCCATTCTCCCTGCTCGTTTTTAAGCTTATCGATTCGATTAGCACTAAATCTGGCTTTAGCCCGAGAATGAAAAAATCTTGTATTGCAATCTCCTTTATTGAGCCAGTCGATACGGGCCCTCTGTTTCCTGAAACCCTTCTCGCGGCATTGGAGTCTCTGAATCTCTGACTCTAGTTCTTTAATCATGGCCATTAAATTCAGAGAATCTGGAGATTCATAAAGTTGTTGAAGTCGCTTCTCCTTCTTCTCCAAAATTTGCTTCCACCCCGAAAAGGACTTTTTGCTCCACTTCTGCAACCTTTTCCTACAGTCGGACAGGCTCGAAGAAAACTTGAAGTTTTTCTGACGACGAAAAGGGGAAGACGGGCCTCTCGACCAACTCTCTCGAACAACATCGAAGTAACCATGTTCTTTTAACCAAAATGGTTCAAATCTGACCTGGCAATTTTTTGAAACCGGTGCGTGAGCCTGTCTCTCCTCTGAATGAATAAGAATGGGCTTGTGATCAGATGAAAAGAAAGGAAGATGTTCAGACCAAGATTCAGAGAAAAGATTCAACCAATCGTCTGAGGCCAAAAATCTGTCCAAGTGAGCTTGAATATTCACCGCTCTTTTTCTTTTATTGTTCCACGTGAAGGGAAATCCTTTAAAAGGAATATTATCCAAATTGCAATCTATGAGGATCTGTTGGAAAGCCCGAGAATAAGCTTGGTTCCGGAAGGCCCCTCCACAACGCTCCTCCAACAGTAAAGTTTCATTGAAATCCCCACCGCAAAGCCAAGGAAGATTCGACAATGGTTTGAGTCTACGAATAAGATTCCACATATGATGTCGATTCACCGCCTTCGGTTGTCCATAAAATCCCGTAAATTGCCAACGTCTGAACTCTTGATCTTCGATAACCGCATCAATGTGTCCCACCGAAAAAGATTTAATTTCTACCTTCCATCTATCTGACCACAACAACATAAGCCCGCCATTGAAACCCGAACAGTCCACTACAAAATTTCCCGAAAGAGAAAGATGATAGCGAATATTATATGCCTTAGCGCCATACAACCTAGTCTCAGACAAAAAGACTAGGTCAGGGGAAATTTTACAGACGAGATTCTGTAACGATCTCAACGTACAAGGATTCCCCAACCCTCGCACGTTCCAACAAAGACGACCCATTGCTCTCGGCGCCTCTGCTGAGCAGAGGTCGCCGCTTCAATAATCGAACAAGTGTTGTCCTCCATAACTACATCCTCAACCACCATTATCCGTTTGCCAGGACCCTCCAACGGAATATCCGAAGTATTTTGAGTTGGTTTCCTCTTCCACCGTTTACGTTGTTCGCCTTTTGAGATACTACTCAACGTAGCTTGAACCAAAGTAACTTTAGAAGGGGAGTACATCTCTCTACTATTGAATCCCCTTGAAAACCCTCTAATTTACTAGCAGTAGCATCTGCAATTTCCTGATTTCCCACTTCCTTACCAGTATTTTGAACGTCCTGACTATCATCAACTAGTTTTGGTATGACTGAGAAGCCTCGTTTGAAATGGGGCTCCGCTTCCCATCTTCTTTGCTCACACTGGGGTCACTGAACATGGAGTGCTCTCAGTATTAGAGGAAAAAAAAGACGTGCGACCCTGCCGTCTTCTGAACCATGTAGGAATAGCGCGCAACCAATCGCCATACTTGCGTGAAGTTTCACCTGAAAGGTCCCCCGACTTTGAAGGACACTCGCACATACGGTGCCCCACCAGACTGCAAATGAAACAGAATTCTGGGAGTTTTTCATACTGGACGGGAATAGAAAACTCCTCATTCATTACCTCTAGAAATACTCGAAGGCCGCGACGAAATGGTTTAGAGACGTCAACTTTCACTTTCACCCTTGGCGTTATGCCTTCACAATTCACATCAACTATCTCCCCCAACTGTTGCCTTACCAAACGCACACAATGGTCCGTGTGGCAGGCCAACGGTAAATTAATAAGATGCACCCAAATTGGAACAACGTGAAAGTCCATCGCATTAATAACTCCAGCCTCTTGTGGTTTAATCAAGGAAATAAGTTGCATATTAAACAACTATGGTCTGCCATTGAATACTAGATTTCGATCTTCTTCCGACCCAAACTGAGACCAAAAGATATTATTTGCGCCCTTTGTCTCGATCTGGAAAGAATATTTAGTCCTCCAAATGGTGTGCAGAACTGATTTGAGGTTGTCTCTACTCGAATTTCTATACTCGATAACCTTCCCCACCATGTTTGTTGCAAGTCTAGTTGCCCCAATATCAGAGTCCTATTTTGCCACTGGGACTGGAGCCTCATCCAACTCCAACCGCATCTTATTGCATAACTTGGAGATCTCCTCAGGATCCATGGCCCGCTACCAAAAGAGAGCCTAAAAAGCCGAGACCCACGAACCCAGAAGAGTAAAACCAGATAACAAACACCACCGCAGATCGCCCGCCCGATGAATATCCAACGAACCCTAGGTCCGAGCCCCAAAATGCTATCGAGATGAGAACCCACCCCAATTGCCTTCAGGAAAATGCAATAGAACCCTAGTAGCTTCCAGGCCCGAGAAGGAGTTGACGAAATTGCAACACAAAATCGGCCTTGCCGGAAAAAGCAGACTAGAAGCTGCAATCGCCCAAATCGCTCACACGGGAGAGAAAGGGAGTTATAAAAGGTTCATACTTTGGAGCTAAAAAGCTTGAGTTGTTAACGTACCCTTATTTCACTCCCCAATTTTTCTTAAAGAAAGATTAGCTTGAAGTATAAATTTATTCAACTCTACCAGGTTAAGTTCATACTTGGATTGTATCCTCAGCTTATCATTTTGCTTAGTTGTGTTTGTACATACCACAAAAAATAAAAACAGTGGAACAATGATGAAAGCGAGAGGGTGATTGGATGTATACTTTTCTCAAAGACGGCCTCTCTCCCCTCCCCCAAAAAAATCCCCTTTTTCCTAGTCGTAAACCCCTCTTTCTGCGGCATCTTCGCCCTCCCACTGGCGGTGCCCTGCACCCTCGTGGCTCCGACACCGCCAAGGGCTTGTTACAGTCCTTGTGTGATGCGTCGAATCCTCTCCCGCCCTTCGCCGGTGTCCAGGTGGTCGTGGTGGATTGTCGAGGTTTGGTGTTCCGTCGGTTTCACTGTGGTAGTCGACGTCGATTGTCGCTCTGGTAGCAGGGTCGCGACTTCCGCCCTTTCTCTCTTGTGCGATATCGGCTTGTCCTTTGGGTTGGAGTAGTGGGTGTCTCCGGTGGAAGTGGTCGGCTTCAGTCGATATACGACTGACAGGTTATGTCGAGGGGGGGAGTGATGTGGGCCGACTGGTGTCCTTTGGCTCGAGTTTTGGTTAGCCGTCACTTGAGTGAAGTTTCCAGATCTGGGCCTTGGGACGAGCTTCTGACGTGGTTGTCTTTGGTGTTGGAGTGACGGGGTCTCGGAGTGTTTGGTCGGCTGGTGGGGAGGACTCTATTCTAGTTTTACTAGTTGTGTTTTGTATGTGCTACGTGTTCTTTCTGTGTTCTCAGTGTTTTTTAGGCTATGTTTGATTCAAAGGAGGGGAGGATAGGGGAGGGAATTTAATGAAAGGGAGGGGAGGGGATGGGAGGGGAGGAAAAGTAATTTTACCTTGTTTGGAGGAATTTTGTAGGAGGTGATGTGAAGGAAAATGATTAACCTTGTTTGGTTAGAAGATGAAGGGGGAGGGAAAATAAAATTACATGGACAAAGATACCCTTATTTATTATATAATATTATATTTACAAGACATAAAACTGGAGGGGCATATTATGTAATTATAATGAATTGAGAAGGACATATTAGTACAAAAATTTGTAAGATTTAACTTCCCCTCCAAATTCCCTCAAATTTGGAGGGTGATGGGTCTCTTCTCAGATCTGGAACGGTCCGATGAGAAAACGTTCGGATCTGGGATGAACCGGTGTGAATGAGCTCAGATCTGATTTGATGGCCTTCGAACCGTTGTTGAACCGCAAGAACACCTGCAAGAACTCAACGCCGGAGGGATTTCCGGCATAGAGCCTCCGACGCTCAAGTCAGTATGTGAAAAGAGTGAAAAAAGCTGCTCTGAGGAAGCAGCAGCAATGGGGGAGAATGTGGAATGAATGGGAGTTAGGGTTTTGGAGTTACCTCAGCTCCTTTATATAGAAATGGAACATTCACCTGAAGTCCCCAAAATGCCCCGGCCGACTTACTGGAAATGTCCAAACTACCCTGGTCGGTTCGCATTTCGTCCATTTCCTAGTCAGCTTCTAGATCCTTCCTTATCCTTAGCTTCCCTTCGATATGCTGAAGTGTATTAGAGTTGTCGAGGTTTATGGGCTTCCAGACCTCTCTCAGTCGACTTGATCCAGTCGACTCGAGTCGACTGGGTCATACTCAATCGCTAGTGGATCCTGATATGCTTTTGACCGTCGCTTCGCAGGAAATCGACTTATGCTAGTCGACACGTAGGAGTCGACCGGAGGGTATTTGGACCCCTACTTGGAGATATTATAGGGAGTATGGTGAGAGAGTCGGCTTTGGCTAAGTCGACTCGGTAGTTCTGGAATCCTTGATAGTGTAAACCGTTATACGACAGTATGGCTATATCAGAGGGGACCTGATTTTCCCTTGGGTGGGAGAAAGGAGGGAAAACTTACTCCCCTTCCTTGCCAAAAGTTGAACCAAACAGGGGAAAATAAAAATATTCCATCCCCTCCCATCCCCTCCCCTCTGATTCCCCCGAACCAAACATAGGCTTAGGGTGTTATTATTTGTATTCTCCTGTTGGAATTTATGTATTATTGTGAGTGCGTTGTGGTAGTCTAGGCTCCCATCAGGAATGTTCTCCCACTAGATTCGACTACTGACAAAGTTCTACTTGTAATTATATTATATGTTCTATTTATAAAATTCTATCGTTCTGATAAAAAAATAGAGGGTGATTGAATATTGATTTGATTGAGTTTTGATTGATTTTTTGGACACCATAGTTAATTTAAAAAATAAAAATAAAAAGTGACTTAGTTAAGTTTGAGTGATATTTGGAGTTTGTAATAAAATAATATTTAAAATTAAAATGATTAAATTTAATTTAAGTTAAAAATAGGAGAAATATGATTGGAAGTGATAATGTGATCAATTCACTCCCAAATCTTTGCAAACATACCTAAAAATGGAGCCCAAATACCAAATGACACTTAAGTGGGCTTAAACATCTTACAGCCCAGACCAAGAGCACAATTGCTTTTACTCGTTCTAGGGTTTGGTTGGCTACCAGTTTTATATTTAATCGTTTTCCACTTTCACTCCCAACCCTTTGTCCCGGCGGTGTTCCTCATCAGGTCTGCTATTCTCCTTTGCGCCTCCATTGTCGTCTTCCTTCTACATTTTGTATATATATATGTATTATGTTCCATTGAATCTAAACTAATAAACTATTTTTGTTCTGTGCTGAAAATTTGCTGTCTCCATTGATGCAGAATCGAGTTCGTGAAGAATCAAGCCTTTAACCATGAGGTATGTTCTAAATCCGTTGTAATCCAAACTTGTTCTTATTATCTTCGTAGTTCTGTTTATAGTAATTCGGTTTTTGTGATTTGAATCAATCGTCGTGGGGAAATCAATGTTTACAACTTTTCATTTAAATCTACTGAGTTATTATGTTGATCTTCCTTAAAGATTCCGATTTATGTTGAATCTGCATATTACTCTTGATCTGATTGCACTGTTTCCACAGTAAGCTTCAGAGCGAGGCCCTTAGGGAAGCCATTTCGGTGATTACAGCTGAATGTAAGGAGAAGAAGAGAAATTTCACTGAGACAATAGAGCTCCAGATTGGGCTCAAGAACTATGACCCTCAGAAGGACAAGCGTTTCAGTGGTTCGGTGAAGTTGCCTCACATCCCTCGACCGAAAATGAAGATCTGCATGCTTGGGGATGCCCAGCATGTCGAAGAGGTATACCGTGTAATCCTTGCCGTGCACAGTTTGTAGAATAATGTTTGAAAGATCGGCACGTGTTTGGACGGGGTGTTTTGACTTGACAATGTGATATTGGATGTGTTATTATATGAATTAACATTTGTGTGATACTGTCCTGAAGATTAGCATGTTGAAGAGATATATCACTTGGTCCTTGCTTTTCTCTAATCTTTTACAAGAACTTTCTGTGTTTCTGATTTTTTATTTTATTTCATTAATGGTATGAAATGCTTGGTTAAATGAATACATAATATAATGATGTTGCAATAAGCCTTGGGAAAACGCGAGTTTGATTTTTTTTATAAAATGGTGTGTGTTGAAAATTTGTGCTTCTGAATGCTTGCATTTGCCATGTGTCTTTATGATATCTTTCTTCAGTTTAATTAGTCTTATAATGTGACGTGCTTCTATTTTGGCAGGCAGAAAAGATTGGGCTCGAGTCAATGGATGTTGAAGCTCTGAAGAAACTGAACAAAAACAAGAAGCTGGTGAAGAAGCTTGCTAAGAAGTATCATGCTTTCTTAGCCTCAGAAGCCGTTATCAAGCAAATTCCCCGTCTCTTGGGACCAGGTCTTAACAAGGCAGGCAAGTACTTCTGGCTAATAATCTTAAGGAGGACTTTTGTCCTTTTCTTTTATCAATGCTAATTGAAATATATAAATCCTGTCCTCACATACTAATGTAGCTGATCCTGTATTCAATCTGCTAACGAAATGAAATTGTGATAATCTGATTCATTGTAATATTGATTCAAGTTGAAAATTTACACCATATTTTATGGACATCACTTACGTAGACAAGCTAAGCTTGTTAGATTGTGATCATATGCAATGGTAATGTTGTAGAGACGACTCTTTTTTCGCCCCTTGTTACCTTTTCCCCTTAAACATTTTTCTTGGTACACATACAGGCAAGTTCCCCACTCTTGTCACTCACCAGGAGTCACTTGAGTCGAAGGTGAACGAGACAAAGGCTATGGTGAAGTTCCAGTTGAAGAAGGTGCTCTGCATGGGCGTAGCTGTAGGAAACCTCGACATGGAGGAGAAGCAGATCTTCCAAAATGTGCAAATGAGCGTCAACTTCCTTGTTTCTCTGCTGAAAAAGAATTGGCAGAATGTAAGCATGTTTTTTATTTACGGTATCAATTTGTTTGGTAACGAGTTGCATCTTACAATATCTATTGAATTAGTCAGTTTTCCTGATTTCTTTCTGATATTCTGACATGCAACATATGTTTGTCGACGTTGTAACTTTTTTTGTTGTAGTTATCCATTATATGTTGTGAGATTCCCTATCATTTAATCTTTTCTTTTTCGTCAGGTGAGGTGCTTGTACTTGAAGAGCACAATGGGAAAGCCACAGCGCATCTTCTAAGGTTTTGGCGTCCTATTTCATTTTTGTTTCAAGAATAGTTTGTAAGAGACCGTAAGCAATCAAATATTTCTGTGGACGGGGATTTTTTTTTTCATTTTTGTGCTACTGCTCAGTTGACTGTTGTCTACCTCTTTTAATATGTTTATGTTTAGTTGGTTTTTGCACTTCTTTTCAAGCAGTAACTGTGTGGATCTAAGTTATAAATGCCATTGTTTGGTTATTACTCTGATGCATTTTCTGGAAGTGGCAATTTATTATAATGCAAAATTGGTTTGAGCTTTTTCGTTCGGTAAGCATTTGTCCGTCGGGCTTATTTTTGTTGGTGTTGATTGGTCTAAGCTCCGGACATGAATGCTTGTGGTGGTAGGCCCTCTGAGGCAAAAGTATAAGCGGATGCTTGTGGTGGTAGGCCGTCTGAGGCACAAAAGTATAAGCGGTGGCGGAACTTGGGAGACCACATTCTGTGGTTTAACTTCCCATTTATATGGGTACCTACAATACATTATGTTTAATTTTACATATGTGGTATATAAATGGGTTTGAGTCCTGAATGAGGTAGACAAAGTCAAATAAAAAAAATCCAGTGACAATAAAATATTAGGTTTAGAATATTTATTAATCAATAAAAATGCTCTAATATGTTTTTTTCTAATAAAAGAAGAATTAAATTAGGAATAAATGTTGATTGTTCAAGTTTGTACTTAGGTCCAAATAGATTCAAGAATTGATTGAGTCTTATTTTTTTTTATTGTCACATAAGTTAGACTATGTGTACTTTTAATTGCATTGAGAAATATTTTTTTACTGATCAAGCCTATTTTTTACATGGCATATGATATTTTCTTAAAAGATTCAAATCATTGTGGGTGCTATATGAGAAGACGGATAAATATTTTTTTACATATCTAACCTATTTTTACATGACATGATATTTTCTTAAAAGACTCAAATCATTGTAGGTGCTATATGAGAAGACAGATAAACAGATCAAGCCTATTTTTTACATGACATGATATTTTCTTAAAAGACTCAAATCATTGTGGGTGTTATATGAGAAGACGAATAAACATCTTTTTACAGATCAAACTTATTTTTTACATGACATATGATATCTGTATATATATATTGTTGGCATATATCATTTAATAAAACCTAATTAATAAAACCTCTATTCATTTTACCGCTCATTTTTTCAATTAATGTAGAAACGTTACATTTTACATTAATAAAGTGTAATAATAATTTTAAACTAATTTATTTATAATATCACTGCTAACACTAATTGATTATAACTTTATATTAAATAGTATGTAGAAGCTACATACTTATGAAAAATTGTATTGCAATTTTTTTCTTCAAACTACATTTTCTAAAATAAAATATTTTTGTTTTTTTGAACGATTTTTATCTAATATTAGTTAATTGGCATGAGTGTCATAATTAAACACCTTAAAATCACATAAACAATTGCCATAACAATGATAAAAATAACTGTAATACCTTTCTAACTAATTAATTGTATGGTCCCTCTAAATTACTATATTGTATTATCCAATGAAATTTATGGCATCAATATAAAGATTCATACGTAAATAATTTATATTTATTACATTACACATTTGCATATAGTCAAAAATTTAAAATGTGTTACATCAATTATCTAATACTCCCTTCTATTTTTGTTATTTGTCGTTTTGAGAAGCAACACACTAATTAAATTGCCAATATTAACCATATTTAATGGATGTAATGGGAAATTATGGAGATGAAATATGAGGAGACACTGTGCATTGATTGAGGGTTAAAAATAGGAAAATATGAACAAAATAGCTAAAACGAATATTTATTTAATCAATGATCCATTAAGCCAAAGTGACAAATAATAAAAATAGGAGGGAGTATAAAATTTGATATATTATATACATACATATAATGTATAAATTTTAATTTTTCTTTGTGCATGTACACAAGATGAATACTAATTTTCTTAAAAGACTCAAATCGTTGTGGGTGCTATATGAGATTTTTTTTACAGATCAAGGTTATTTTTTACATGACATATGATATTTTTTTAAAAGACTCAAATCATTGTGAGTGCTCTATGAGAAG